GCAATAGTTCATATTTCGGCATAGCAAACTATTGTGGCCACGTTACCTTTTCCAGCCTACGTTACGGCAATAATTGCTACTTGGAAAATGAAGACAACATGAAGAGGTAGTTTATTTAATGTACATATTGTACATTATAGAAAAAGTTTAGCTGCCATACCATCTGCTCAGCCAATGAACGCATGGCCTGAAGAACCTGGCGACGCACAGCAATCCCAGCTGCTGTGTCTTCTTGCAGTCGTGGTAGTTCAGGATCATCCCCTCCCTCGTCCAAGAAAGAGTCATCTAAAGAGGAAACGCAAACACACACATTCTATCTATCTATCTACCTATCTATCTATCTATCTATCTATCTATCTATCTATCTATCTATCTATCTATCCATCTATCTATCTATCTATCTATTTCAAGAAGGAGCGTGAAAAAAAAGGAACTTATTTTCGTAGAGAAACACATTCAACAAATCTAAAAATGACAAAAGAAATCTGTGAAAGTGAGCTGATAACTCTTTATGCGACAAAACAGCAATTTCATTGAGAGTGTACAACAATTCTGTGCTAGAAGCAAGTTGCAAGCACTGAAGAAAATTTTTTTATTTCCAATAAGTCATTAATGCAGCTCAGCTAAAACATTAGTTCAGACGCATCCTTTTGGTAGCATTTATGGTGAGAGAAAGTAGATAGACCCCACATGCGAAATAATAAAATGCTACCTCATGAAAAATGGGAAAGTTTGCCAAATATAGGTGATTATGCACCAGCTATCATCAGAGCCTCATTAATCACAGCAGCTGCACAGATGCTCTCAAGTTACTCAATGCTAGATCACCTACTTGCCACTAGTAGCCGAGAAAACTTTTTCATGTACACTTGAGCACACCATTTAAGTGCCAAATCAAAGATACTGAAAGCTAGAGAAATTCTGAGTGCACGAAAAGGAGCATTCGTTATACCCACAGCTTTTTTGCACAGTGAAACTACATTGTTGTCCTGAGTAGTGTGGCAGGGCCAATGATATACAATGCTTCCAATTATTTGCCTTGTGCACAACACTAAGCAAACAAAAAGTGCAACTTTATAGCTGAATTGGCAAGTGCATATCTTACTTCTACCTAACAATACATGTGCTATGATAAAAGCTCACTTTGGTGAAGTAGGAGGTGAAGCATTCAACAACAATGTCCTGAAAAAGTTTCCGAACTACCGCTTGGCTGAATCCTTGCGAGATTGATTCAAGGAAATGTAAGAAGAAGTTAGAGATGTTAAATATTTTACAGCACAACTGCCCACACTATGAAATCTCCATACACAAGCTGAGACAGACCATGATGTTCGTTGTGGTCTGTATTTATGGTTATATTTACACATGTGCTTGCACTCACTGGTCTGCTTAAGGCGTGTTTGCACTACAGCAACCCGACGCTGACACGACCCCGACGCAGACGATCAACTGAGCTACCCACCGACAATGGCACCTCACAATCTGGTCACACTGAGCCGAAAACAACGACGCTTTGAAAGACAGCCCGTTGTTTCCGTGTAACATGATGGCAGACCGAAAACACCAGCAAAGCGTATTAGCAGACTTGCCACCCGCAGATTGTCAGAAGATCGATTGTCGAGCAAAAACTTGTCTTTGTCGTTCAATTTAAGAACTAAGAGAGAGATCTTAGGCAGAGGTAGAAGGCCTTGCACACAACTTAAAGGTGTTCTCCAACACTATTGAACAAGCTATGTTTTATTTGTGGTTTGCAGAGAACGATAGGTGGAAATAATTTGAGCATAGGTCAAAGTGCCAATATCAGTTGATCTGGCATGTTAATTACGCAACAAACTAAACGTCGTTGCCGACTTTATCGCCACGTAGTGGCGCTCACCTAAACTTTGCGGAAGGAAATGACACTAGAAGGTTGCCGCCATATAATTGTATAAATGTATTGCTAGAAGCCATCGTGGTGTAGGATCAAACTGAGGTTACTAATCTGATTTTTCTTCTCTGTGCTTCTTCATCAAACCCTGAACAGACGCAACCACAATAAAAAAGATCACGGTGACTACAAAGCATGACAGAGATGCTGGCTGCCATTTCGGCGCTAGATTTTTAGCTTGCGCGGGTCAGATGTCCATTAGAAGCACCTCTTTTTCTTTCTTCCCTCTTTTTGCTTTCTTGAGTATACGAGCTATCTGTTTCTGCACATGCACTGTAGAAGAGGGGCAGTGCACCATTGTTTGTTGGGCGGCTCATCTAACAGCACGCGAAGGCTCTATAGTACTTCACTGTCCTAGTTCAACAAATGCCTTTCTCAGAATAAGAGAAAGTGACTTGGGATATTGTAAAAAACAGCAGAAAACGTCTTGCTTCGACACAGTAGCTCTCACTCACGCTCTGGCAAGCCATGCGTCAGGCAAGACATCAATTATGGTAGCAACAAGGCCAACATTACTTTGCAAAAGAAAAAAGAAACAAGCAACAGTGAGGTGCGAGGTTCCCCTGAGTAGGCGCTTCCAGCTTATTTAGTTGGGGTAGCCCTCCAACGACACGGGCAAGTGAAATGCGGTCAAGTGAACCTGTGAAAATCGAGTTGAGGGTCCACACTCTGGTTTTTGTATTTTGAATTTTTTAGGCCAAATAACTTGCTGCATTAGTGTGTACTTCAGTGCACACAACACACGTATAAAACATAAGGGGTTGAATAGTGTTGGAGGGCTCCTTCAATGGTCAGCCTGTGCACTCCACAAAAGTCATTCCTTCGCTTTGTCTTTGTCTGTCCCGACCCCCCGGCCCCTCACCCCAAAAGGGACAATGGCAACGCCCGGAGGATGGCTGAAAATGAGAAGCTGTCGCAAATGTTTTGTGCAAATTTAGTAGGTGTCACTGCGTGTGCCCCCCAGTGTGACTCCAATTGAGAATTGGCCAACTAAAGGCTGTGGGCATGACAAGGCGCAAACAGAACCTCCCTGAGACCATAGGCAAACTGTTTGTGTCGTTGCAGTGTACATCGGCCGATGACTAGACAAAAAACACTCCCAAAGACAATCAGCCGACCGAAATAAGTGTCGAGTTCCTCTATTGTAGACACGCATTTACACATACAACTTAGACTATTACGGTGTCCACACTTACACCTGAATTTCAAGTGACAATTTACTGCTCCAAGTATGAATGTTCTGAAAAATGATAGCAGTGCAGAAAATAAATGTTCCATGTTTTGCTTGCCCATATATAAAGAAGGAAATCATTTTAGACAGCACAGCATAGATTTTTTTTTGTCATTTGCAAAGCAAGGCAGCAAGGATCTTCAAGCATTATAATCGCAAATAGTGATACATGAAATAACATTTGCTAAACGAGAATGCTGCATGAATGTTCAGCTTGCAGCCAACCAGTGTTTCAGACTTGACCGTTGAATAAGTACACACAGCCAAGCGAAAGTTTTTCTCTTGTTACCCACACTAGTGCACTCATACGAACCTTTTAATTTGTGTACAAAATTTTACTTGCGTATTGCTCACAGAGCAGATTGGTATAAGGAGTGCTTTGCAAAAGACCGTACAACTGTTTGCAAAAGACTGCTAGCTACAAAATTTGTACAGGTATGGATGGCTGAAGACTTTCAAGCGTTTGTTTTATTACCGGAACATATAAAATATGGCAGAAAGGAGACGATAGAAGCTTTTAATGAAAAATTCTGTAAATGAGGTTTCTGTCAAACCTAATATTTCACAAGTTCACTCCTCATCCTCAAGGATAGAACGTAACTTCGAGGAAGACAAGTTTATTGGTCGGCCCAACACAATTCCTGTTAACAGATTTTTTACATAACTGCAACACATGTTTCTTGTGAAGCAAAACCTTGCACATCGTCTTCTAACTAGTGTCTTAATATCAGGCTTTAAGGTGCTCCAGAAGCTTTGTGCCAAGAAATACGAGCATCTTTTTTGCGCATACTTTAATGATGCATTTACTAATGCAACCTTCACAGACTATGTTTTGGCAGTAATTGTCAGCATGGATTAAGCACACTGACACTATTTTGCTTAGCCTAATAAACATTACAAAGATTTCCCCACTACAAAAGCTCTCAAGCTGTAAAACTTTAGCAAAGCTACGAAATTGTGGAGCTCACAGTGGTGTTACTGAGTATGGTGAAAAATCACAATACTTTAAACAGGAAACAGTATATGAAAAATAATCTGCTCATAGGAACATGTTTCCATGAAAATAGGGAACTGTCACATCTGGTAATTTTGCCTTTTTATAAGTCTGATATAAAACAATAATAATCTAATCATAATAATATTTTTAAGGTTTTAGTCTCAAAACAGATATATCAACATGCGATATACCATAGTGCATCGCTCAGGATAAATCGACCATCCAGCACTCATTTAGGATGCATCAACTGTACACGGTCTTCTACTATGTGGCTCTCAATGCAGTGTGACTACCAGGAATGGGAAAATGTGTAAAGTTCCCTCTCCCTTGGAGCAACATTGACGTACTGACAAGGGTAAAGAAACTTGTATAAAAAAAGCAATGATACATGGAACCCCTGTTCCTGTGCTACACGTTTTAGCAACCACACTCTCGTTTGAATTTATTATGCATGTGCAGCACAACCATTCTTCTCTAAACCCTCACTAATATCTTATGGTACTATTACTCGCAGCATATGTTTTTACGAGTACAGGTATGTAGAAACTTCAAAACATTTACACAATGGAACTTGCAAACCATGTCCAGTGGTTTGAGCAAGCTCGGTGTTTTCTGAAAAAACCAAGCTGTGAAGTAGGAGCTGACGATGCTAACAGTGAACTTTTCATTATGAGGAATGAAATATCTACTTCTGCACATCTTTGAAGCTTGAGCAAGATCACTTTCTCGAACAGCACGGCAGTTGGCAATTGCTAGAGCAGCTGTTGTCTCAATATTTCTTCTACCCAAGCAGTTGTTCTGCAAAACATGTTAGTAAAGCTACTACAGCTACAGCAAACACTTACCATCAGTAAAGTTGAAGTCAATGCCATGTCGGACACACATGTTGTGCAGCATAGCGCACGCCACCCTTATTTTGGTGCACATCAGCGGACTGTACTGTAGAGCACCCCCGGACTGGTGCAGGCACCTGAAGCATCCTTTGAGAACCCCGAAGGTCCTCTCAATGACTTGCCTCATCCGAGTGTGGGCCGAGTTGTACTGCTCCTTGGCAGGGCCAACCGGAGACCTTACAGGGGTGAGCAGCCATGGCTCTAAGGCATACGCAGAGCCACCTTAACTGAGGAACAAGGATGTACTCATGTCATAGGTGATGGGCCGAAATGAACAAAAACCTAAATATCACATATAGCCTGAAAACATGTACGGTGCGAAAATGCCAAAAGAAATAGTTCGCAGAATTATGGAACACAGGCAAATTGCACTATTACTTCATTTTAGTGGCATCAGGCTTAAATTGCAACTGTCTTCAAACCAGGCAAACAGCAAAATGTATGTATGTATGTGCACAACCCTAACAAACACACCCATATATATATATATATATATATATATATATATATATATATATATATATATATATATATATATATATATATATATATATATATATATATATATATATATATATATACATGCAGAAGAATAACTTCAGTTGCCGCAAGGTTAGAAGTATGAAAGTAGATGCGCTTTCACATAACTCTTTATTCAGCCAACGTTTCGACGCGTCCAAATGCCGGCTGATTATACAGTTCTTATATGAAAGTGCCTCTACTTTCATACTTGTATACATGTCATACTTGTTTACTATATATATATATATATATATATGGATGAAATAGATGATCAGAGTTTGTTCCCGCTACCGTAATAAAAGTTATAAACTTCGAAAATAGTGCAGTATAGGAAACAAAACAATAAAATATTTATTTAATCCTAACAGTTTTGGCTGGTGGACCAGCCTTCTTCGGAGGATCGGAGCCTTCTTCGGAGGATCCTCCTTCTTCGGAGCCTTCTTCGGAGGTGGACCAGCCTTCTCTGGAGGATCCTCCGAAGAAGGCTGGTCCACCAGCCCAAACTGTTAGGAATAAATAAATATTTTATTTTTTTGTTTCCTATACTGCACTATTTTTGAAGTTTATAGCTATATATATATATATATTAAAATAGAGGTGTTGTACGTCGAGAAAGGTTCAGACGCAGCTTGGCAAAATGAGCTTTAACAGGCAGGTCTGGCTAATGGCGAACGGCGTGCGCGAGCTACTACTGCAGCCACCGATCATCATCGTCTTCTTCGTTGCCAGCAGAGCGTCCGTTACTCAGATTCATTAATTCATTACAATTACTCCCCGCGAAATAAGGAGCCATCCTGGCGACCTATGGACAAGTAAACACGGGAGGGTCGTAGCAGGGCTTAAGTCTCGAGACGTGGACAATTTCCTGGCCACGACGACGTTGGTCAGAAGATGGTTCCAGTGGCTCGATGAGGTAATTCACCGGTGACGTTTTTTGTAGCACACGATATGGGCCGTGATACTTGGGGACCAACTTGGTAGAAAGGCCAGGTGTAGCAGAGGGAACATGCAGCCAGACGAGTGAATCTGGATCGTAGGAAGTGGTGTTATTTGATGCGTCATGGTGGTGCTTTTGGCGTCCTTGGTCTTGGGTTGTGAATGCTCTTGCCAGTTGGCGGCATTCCTCAGCGTATGTAGCGGCTTGAGACAAAGTCGTGGACTCTGAGGAGTCAGGTTTGTACGAAAGAATGGTGTCCATAGTGCAAGAAGGTTCGCGTCCGTAAAGGAGGAAAAAAGGAGAGAACCCTGTAGTGCTTTGAATGGCGGTATTATAAGCGAACGTGATAAACGGGAGCACTCGGTCCCAATTGGAGTGGTCTGACGAGATATACATAGACAGCATGTCACTAAGGGTGCGGTTGAAGCGCTCTGTCATTCCATTGGTCTGAGGATGATAGGCGCTTGTAGTGCGGTGAACGACGTGGCACTCACGCAGCAATGCTGTGATGACGTCTGACAAGAATACGCGACCACAATCGCTCAGTAACTCCCGAGGTGCTCCATGACGTAATACGATGTTGTGAAGAACGAAAGTCGCAACGTCTTTTGCTGTAGACGAGGGAAGGGATGAAGTTTCGGCATACCGCGTGAGATGGTCGACGGCAACTATGATCCAGCGGTTACCGTCAGCAGTGTTGGGAAGGGGACCATAGATATCGATGCCGACGCGGTCGAATGGTCGAGATGGGCATGGTAAGGGTAGCAAGGTACCGCTGGCGTGACAAGGGGGAGTTTTTCGTCTCTGGCACGTCGAGCAGGCCCGAACGTATTGTCGTATAAAACGGTACATGCCACGCCAGTAATATCGGAGACGTATGCGAGAATAAGTCTTCAGGAAACCTGCGTGGCCACATTGGGGGTCGTCATGAAACGTGGAACAAATTTCGGATCGCAGATGACGTGGAATCACGAGTAGCCACTGACGTCCACCGGGTGCGTAGTTGCGTCGGTACAGCACGTCGTCGCGAGTGGCGAAGTGCTCCACTTGCCGACGCAACGTGCGAGAAGGGGGGGAAGCCGTCCGCCCAGCCAGGATGTCTAGAATCGAAGCAACCCAAGGGTCCTTGCGTTGCTCAGATGGCATGTCGGCGATGGTGACGGCAGTGGCATCACAGGTTATACTTTCGCAGCAATCCGGGTCAGGGGGTAGAGGCGAACGGGATAGGGCGTCTGCGTCCGAATGTTTCCGGCCGGAGCGATAGACCACGCGAATATTATATTCTTGGAGGCGTAATGCCCATCGGGCGAGGCGACCACTTGGATCCTTCAATGACGACAACCAGCAGAGGGCGTGGTGGTCAGTCACGACGTCAAAAGGGCGCCCGTACACGTAAGGTCGAAATTTTTCTATCGCCCAAATAATGGCGAGGCATTCCTTTTCGGTGACAGAATAGTTGCTTTCGGCTTTGCTAAGAGTTCGGCTTGCGTAGGCAACCACGTACTCTTGGAAGCCGTCTTTCTTCTGTGCAAGAATAGCGCCTAGCCCGACACCACTAGCGTCGGTGTGGATCTCTGTGGGTGCCGATGGGTCGTAGTGTCGCAGAATAGGCGGCGACGTGAGGAGGCGGCGCAGTTCATTGAAAGAGTCGTCACAGGTGGCAGACCAGGCTGAAAGGTCTCTGGAGCCGGCGAGGAGCTTGGTCAAAGGAGCGATGATCGTCGCGAAATTGCGGACGAAGCGCCGGAAGTAAGAGCAAAGGCCTATGAAGCTTCGGAGCTCTTTCATGGTGGTCGGTTTGGGAAACGCTGAAACGGCTGTAAGTTTGGCAGGGTCAGGAAGAATGCCGTCTTTTGAAACCACGTGGCCAAGGATCGTAAGCTTTCGAGCGGCGAAATTGCACTTCTTCAGATTCAGTTGCAGCCCCGCGGCAGAAATACACGCGAGGACTTTCTCGAGGCGGGTTAAATGGGTTTCAAAATCAGTTGAAAAGACGACAATATCATCTAAATAACAAAGGCAAACGTTCCATTTGAGGCCTCGAAGGATAGAGTCCATCATCCGCTCGAAAGTAGCTGGCGCGTTGCAGAGGCCGAAGGGCATCACTGTGAATTCGTAAAGCCCGTCGGGTGTGATGAAAGCAGTTTTTTCACGATCGGCCTCTGCCATGGGTACCTGCCAGTATCCAGAGCGGAGATCTAAAGAAGAGAAAAATTCGGCTCCCTGTAGGCAGTCCAAGGCATCGTCAATGCGTGGCAGCGGATAGACATCCTTGCGCGTGATTCGGTTGAGACGCCGGTAGTCCACGCAAAACCTGATGGATCCGTCCTTCTTCTTCACCAACACAACTGGAGAGGCCCAGGGACTGCTTGACGGTTCGATTATGCCACGTGTCAGCATGTCGTCAACCTGTTCATTGATGGCACGGCGTTCTGTAGTTGACACACGATATGGACGCTGCCGTAATGGCCTCTCTTGACCGGTATCTATACGGTGTACAACAGATGACGCTCGACCTAAGGAAGGCTGATTGTGGTCAAACGAGGCTCGAAAACGCTGTAGGAGCTTGATCAGCTGTTTCTGCTGCCCAGGCGTGAGGTTACAATCGATGGACTTGCGGAATACATCCATAGGTTCATTAGCGTCAGTTGCGGGTGTAATGGCACAAGTCGGTAGAAATGGCTTGTCTGGATAGATCGGTTCTTCGAAAATACAATTTAAGGTCTCGAGGCTTCCCAGACACTCACCGCGTAGCAGGATGTACGGGCAAGCAGAAACGTTGCACGCATAAAGTACCGCCGAACCATTGGAAAAGTTGATGACGGCAAACGGGAGGACGATGGTCCGGTGTTGCACACTAGCTATAGTTGGTTGGAACAGGAGCGTCGAGTTAGTGGCAGCAGGGGAAAACACAGGCACTAGGACGGCGGACAACGGCGCGATGCGGACGTCAGCTGCGGCAAACACTTTCGAGGGACTGTGGTGGTCGATATCAAGGCACGGATTCGTCAACGTGAGTTCAGCACGAGCGCAGTCGACGAGAGCCTGATGGGTAGAAAGGAAATCCCATCCTAGTATCACGTCGTAAGATGAACGTGGGAGAACAACAAAGTTGACGGCGTACCAACATCTTGAATAAGAACGCGTGCTGTGCACTGAGCTGTCGGCGCGATGAAATGGGAGGTGGCTGTACGCAGAGCAAGATTCGTAAGCGGCGTTGTAACTTTTCTCAAATCGCGACACAGTTTTTCACTAATTACAGAAACGACGGCGCCTGTGTCGACAAGTGCACGTACAGCAACACCTTCTACTAGCACATCAATTTCGTTGGACGGACAAAGAGGAGGTCTTAGAAAGTTCGACGACGACGCAGTTCTTGCCTCCGGAACTGCGGCTGTCAGTTTTCCTCTCGAGCGGGGCTCGTGCGCCGAAGCATCGGGGAGACAGATCGGCGACGGGGTGGTAATGACCGGCGAGAATCGACGGGGCGTCGTGGGGACAATGAGTCGGTGATAGGAGAAGATGGTCGCCGGGGATTCTTGGCAGCCTGGTAATTTGCAGAATTCCCATGGTCTGGAGGCTGGAAGTTGCGACGGCGACAGTAGCGTGCTATATGTCCCACGAAACCGCATGCGAAACAGATGGGTCGATTATCCAAGTTGCGCCATGGGTTAACGACAGAAGGTGCAGGGGGCGAAACGGGATGGGGTGCCGTGTATGTAGGCAGCGTCGTAGGGTAGGAGGACCCGGTGCCCCGGTATGCGCCACAGACAGGTGGGGCTGGGGGTCTAGCAACGACGGCAGCGTAGGTCAGCGGCGTAGGGACAGGTGGCGATGGAGGCAGTGCTTGCGCGACCTGTGTCTCAATGACCTGGCGTAGACGTGGGTCTAACGAGGTCACTGGCGCGGATGCTTCGGCCACAAGAGAAAGCTGACGCGCAACTTCCTCACGAATGAATTGTTTGATTTGGGGGAGTAAGACGGTCTGATCAGCAGCGACGTCGTGTACGAGGGCGGAAACTTCAGCCGTATCTTCTGCGGCCCTGCGCGTCGAGACACGCTGCTTACGCAACTCGTCGTACTCCTGACAGAGGTGGAAAACATCGGTGACGGTCTGTGGATTCCGAGCGACGAGCATCTGGAAGGTGTCGTCGTCAACTCCTTTGATGATGTGCTTGATTTTGTCGCGTTCGGTTAGAGATTCATCGACGCGCTTGCAAAGGGACAAGACATCTTCAATGTAACTCGTAAAGGTCTCGTCCCTGCGCTGGACTCGACTACGGAGACGCTGTTCCGCGCGAAGCCGGCGCACGGCGGGACGGCCGAAGACCGCGGAGATGGTGGTCTTGAAGGCGGACCAGTTGGTAATTTCGCCTTGGTGGTTCTTGAACCAGAGGCTGGCCACATCAGCTAGGTAAAAGCGCACGTTTGTGAGCTGGTCGCAGGCGTTCCACTTGTTGGAAGCGCTTACGATTTCGTACTCGACGAGCCAGTCCTCGACGTCTTGTTCGTCGTTGCCGCGAAAAATTGGTGGGTCACGTTGCCGAGGCGCGCCAGTACAGTAGACTGTCGTTGGTGAGGCAGCTTGAGAAGGGCCAGGAGCAGTCATGGTGAACGGTGAGGGTAGCGTCCGATTGCGAAGTTCCAGGTTGATGGGTACCCCGCACCTCCACCACTTAAAATAGAGGTGTTGTACGTCGAGAAAGGTTCAGACGCAGCTTGGCAAAATGAGCTTTAACAGGCAGGTCTGGCTAATGGCGAACGGCGTGCGCGAGCTACTACTGCAGCCACCGATCATCATCGTCTTCTTCGTTGCCAGCAGAGCGTCCGTTACTCAGATTCATTAATTCATTACAATATATATATATATATATATATATATATATATATAGAGAGAGAGAGAGAGAGAGAGAGAGAGAGAGAAAGGCTTCCAAGCACAGCGAAGGACAACAGGAACCGTAAAGTTTCAACAACTAAAGCTGGCCATTCCTATTCATAAATAATTAAACTGGAGCAATCACTGCATAAACATTTGTCCTTGTCTGGTATACTTGATAACGAGAGTACAATTAACACCCTTGTGTGAGAACACTGCAAACAGCTACTAATGAAACATTTTTAAAAAAGTTCAGAGGCGAGCACACGAAATGCTTTCCTGTTTTAGTATATCTTTCAAAAGTATATCTTTCAAAAGAAATTACCTAGTAACCAGCCGTCGGGCAATTGCCGTCTCTGAAAGCACTTTCGGAGGTCACAGTCGGCCCAGATGAAGCTGTCGTGGGTGCTGCCGGGCCATTTCGATGTGAGCTGGGTAATGGCACCCTCAGCATCGCAGATCACTTGTACATTGATTGTGTACAGGCCTTTTCGGTTCCTGTACAAGTGTTCCTGGTCCTTAGGAGGCTTGATTTGCACATGAGTGCCATCAATGCATCCCAGGACCTTGGGGAACCCAGCTATCTGCGAAAAGGCAGAAAAGAACATGAATGAACAGCAATTGAAAGTGCTGCTAAGACATATTAGCCAGTAAGATAATGACATCATTTCGTCAGGGCAATTTAAGACATTTGAGCACCTTGAAACACTGCGAAATACCCCCCAAGCTCTGCACGTCGATAAATTTCGTAAAGAAGTGAGCTGAGACATCTCACAAATGATTAAGTTCTCAAGATGGCGAGCAAGGCGGCGTGTGATAAGGAAATAAAAACTTGCTGCATAACCGTGCATTCTGGTGACATATCGGTGCTGCCACCGAAATAACGTTGCGTGCAACTAGTGACCTGAAATCAAAATAATTTTGTAAAAACAACTTGATGAGTCCAGGAATGTTAACTACATAAATTTCTTTCCCCAAGACTGCGACACTTTTTAGTGAACAAAAAGGTTCCAATTAAACTGGGAAAATAGTGTTTACGGCAAACAACAAAAAATTGCTGCACCGAATGTAAGCTGTAGAAACTTCTCCCTCGTGTAGCAGAATATTCTGCAAATTATTATTGGTACCAAGATGCGTGGTAGCCTAGTAGTAGCTCTCAAGAGATTTGCACTGGTTAACATAAAATCTGCCACACTAACAGAACACTGTAGTCCTTATGACACGTCATGCAACAACATTAGTTTACAAAGTTAAACTCACCGATGGCCGTAGCATTAGCAGCCCTTAGTGTCGCCGGGAAGTGTATGTGCTTCGCAACCAGCGAGCACAGGGCGTCACTTGTGCCACAATGCGCGACGCACTCGATTGGCTCACGCCAACGCTACCGTATACTGCCGCTTGCGTAAAAGCGCAAAGCGAGCAGCACTTGCACATCCACCGGTAAGGCGCGAGACCGCGCCTTAGGCCGCTGCAGTCGAGGCTCTAGTCCGACAAAGGGTCCGAATATGTTCCCTCGGGAACCTGCAGTAACGCAGTGGCTGGTCTAGAACATCGTCCAAGGCTAGGCGCCGGTGGAAGGTGCGCTCTCTCCGGAGGGAAGGTTGCCGTTGACGAGCGATGGCTGCCAGGAAGTACTCCATGGTTCGGATTGCATAGGTCAAGGGTAATAGCTGCCGATGCACCCATATTTATAGCAGAACGCATAGGTTTGTGACTTGCGGTTCTGTCCATCGCGATGCTGAGATTACCATAGCAACCAGAGAAGCAAAGAGTTGACACAAAAAGCTTCGTCGAGTCCTTGTAGTTCGCATAAAGCATCTCGGCAACTTTGTAGCAATATAAACCTGCAATCGCTAGTCTAAAGACACCCAGCCGTAAACACCGTTGAGCTATTGACCTGCTGTCACACAGCCCCCGCACAGGCCTTGGATGTGTTAGTACAGAACCAGCGTTCCACTGAGCTTCGCTGCTCTATCGAAAAAAGCGCTTTCTTCGAGTACGAGTAAGAAAAATAATAATAGGGGCGCAATGCTGAAGCCGAAATCAAAAAACAGCGTCGCTTAGGAGTTAACTTGCCCAAGCGATTCCGATGCCAGATATCACACTGCACCTGAAGAAAGTACTCCGGAAGGCGATGCGTACGTGCGCCCAGCGGTCTTCAAACACACCTTGAAGGCTCCGTAAAGAAGTCGGCTACGACGATGCACTGGCGCCTATTTCCTCTCCACAAACACGCCAAAGCAGGCGTTTCACGTTTCACCGCTCACCGAGAGACACTGCCGTCGGTTTTCACACAACTTGGACCCCCGAAGGCGCAACGGAATTCCCAACACGGCGATAAGCCACGGAGTCCACAATACAGCGACAATAGAAGCGCATTGCTGAAACCAGAATCCAGTAAACAGCCTCGCTAATGAGTAACAGACTTTTCAGGATAACTCAAGCTACGTGACGAAAGGATTTTGATGCCAGATGAACAAATTACTCCGGAAGGCGACGCGAACGAGCTGTCAGCCGTATTCAAACACACTTTGAAGTATCTTTGAAGGCCCCGTAAACAAGTCGGCTACAACGAAGCGCTGGCGCCTTCTTCCTCACCAAAAACACGTCGAGGCACACATTTCACGTTTCACCGCTCACCGAAAGACACTGCCATCGGTTTCCGCACGGCCTGCACAATCCGGAAGGGCAACGGAATCCACAGTACAGCGACTGGTGTCCGCGGGAATGACCCCCTGCAGTTGTTTAGGTCGCCATGTTGTTATTAGAAACTGCGCAGCAGGGGTAGGTGCTAAAATAACTTGGAAAAAGCACTTGCGCGATTTTTCGCCCAAGACAAAATAGGCTCTTATATGTGAGGGGGGAAGATATGACGAACAGGACAGGAATGCCTGATGAAAGAAACGTTTTGCAACGTCATAAAGTGAGAGCACCACTTGTCAACCAATCACAAGCTGCGCCTCACGACTTAGCTGTCGTCTGCTTCCGTTTGTCGTCTACTTCGATGGGAGCACGCATGGGGGGTTTCGGCTGTTTCACCGTCGTCACGAAATGGTTTCCAGGACAAGTGGTCTCTGATTCGCACAAAACACGTGTCAGCGTCTGGCACCACATTTTACAGATATTCTTACGCCAAGTTAAATGATTTTTTATTGCCGAAGGGACGAGCCTCCGCCAAGGTTTGCTCGAGAATTGTCAGGCTTTGCACATTTCCGGTGTCATTTGAAATTACTAAGGTGGTTATATCCTGACTGCTTGCCATACTAACGCACCCAACTTCAGTTTTGAAAGAATGAATGCGGAAAAGCTGCATTTGTTTCCAGTTTGATGCGTCATCACGAACACCCTCAATACGCTTTCATTTGCAAAGTACGCACCCCTTCCAGATCGTCCAAAAGTGCATCGACAGCTGTATTTCACAGATCGTGTTCATTGGACAGTTATATCCAATCGGAGTATATGAAAGTGCAACCACAGAATAGGCTTTATGAATGGCTAACTATAAATGTTCCTCTCACTCCGGTATCCAATTGCATCAAGGTGGCGTGCTCTTCTTAAACTCTTTGGTGGTAATCTCGACCGATCGGGCAGACATCACAAGTTGTACATTTTATTGGAAGATTTGGAACGCACCAAGGCATAACAATACATTTTGACCATATACCGTGCTGCTTTCGAGTTCACCAACCATTCACACCGCACTTTGGTTTTCATCCAACCACATGTCTTTGCATGTATCATTATACGCCCCTGACGCCCATTAGAATTCTTTAATTACCACGGTGCCAACCTTATTAAATGATTCTCATTGCCAATACTGTCCATTGCATCCGAGAGAAACAACAAATGAACTCAAAGCACCGGAATAAACCAAAACGCACCAGCAATCATCAGGCAGTCTTACATGGCCATCAATAAACTCAGAATCAGCCACGGCACCCATGTATCCCGCCACGGCTGCAATTTCTAAGCAGCCACATTGTTCGTAAGAATGGTCCGGATCACTCTTAGGATTTTCTCGTAGCCAGGCGGTTTTTACGCAAAATTTTGCTTCGTGAATCCACTTACGACACGACTCCGTGACTTACGAGCACTTATCGGTGACGTAAGCAAATATAGCAACTGCATCACCATCGCTGACATGTTCCCGGGCAGTCGCAGCGCGCTTAGTTGCAGCGGCCGATGTGACAACGATGGCCTCTTACGACCTTTTTTCCGTTTGTGAATCGACTAACGCAACAAAATTTCTCTTGCGCGAACATTTTTTCGTAAGTGAGTTTTGTGAATACGGCTCCTGTTCCCTGTACTGCAGATATCCCAAATTTTGCTCGTCACCGTGAGCCTTGGTATGCTTGCATCATTTCCCTGACTACTCTTCCACCGACGACGTCATCGGGACAAGCCCTACAAAAGAAGCTTGCCTGGCGCTGGACACACACTTGGCAGCAGTGACGGCACATCGGCGCAACGCTAAAAAACTGTTCCCTGTACTGCAGGTTGGTGTACGAATTATGCACAGTTCGTAACTGAATAATTTATGCTGTCGCTGCTGCCTTTCTGTGTTGCTGTGTACCACTGTCCACTTGTTCACTTGTTTTTGCGTTATACATTGTTTCAACTGCTACTATTCTTCATTTCGAAAGACATGGCAAAGCCTACGAATGAAAGAGAAAGCCGATCCGAAATTCAGGAACTTCGTGCTGAAATGAAGTCTTTAACAGGCAGTGTCAAGTTTATGAGCGATGAGTTCGAGGACATGAAAAAGCGTCTTAGGGATGCCACAGAGGAAAGGGAAGCCTTGAGGATAGCTAATGAAGAGCTACGTGCTAAGTGCAAAAAGAATGATAACATATTCAGCAACTGCAGAAGAGAGCTGTTCAATCTGAGCAATACTCGCGCAGGTCAAACGTAGATTTTAAAGGGCTTATACAACAGGAAAACGAATGTGTTGCAGGACTCGTTGGAAAAATTTGTGATGTACTTGGTGAGCACATAGCACCTTCTGATATTGAATTTTGTCACCGTGTGCCCACCTGAGAAGCTGGAAAGTCTAACATAATTGTTCAGTTCAAGAGCGTACAGAAGAGGGACACTGTCCTTGTGAAGGCGCGAAAGCCCGGAAGGCGAAATAACCAGGTTGGAATTCCTGATGATGCCAGAGTATTTGTTAATGAGCATCTATGCCCGACGTTGAAGCGTCTTCTTTCATTTCCCTTGGCAAGAAGGCGTGAATATCAATGGCGCTTTGTCTGGACGCGAAACGGAAAGGTACTTGCGCACAAAACTGAGGCTATAGCAGTGTAATCCATATTGCTTCGGAGGCTGACCTTCAAAAGATCGCGTAGAATACGGTATACGTAATCTTAGTCTTCATATTCCTTTTGACTGCACAATGTATCGACAATTTAGCCCACCATCTGAAAATCCCTGCCTTCACACGGGAGAAATATTTCTGGCCTTCAACTGCACTCGCGTTCACTCGCTCATAAGCAAGACATTCTAGCCATGTTTCTTGCCGAGATTTCTTTTTCATTTGATGTTATTATGTTCTCTCAAACATGGTATCAAGAACACAGTGAAATGC